CTGTTCTTGAACAGTTTTACTTTTTGAAGTTATTTCATATTCAGGTCTACCCCAATCTTTTTAATAAGCTACCTAATTACTAATAACAATCTTAGATACAAGTCTTACATTTTACATACATAAAAGGTAAACAGTCTATCCATATTGAGTCCCTATGTACCTAATATTTCTCTTGGTTCTTGTATGTCAAATCTTCTATTACATTCAGGCTTTTTTTTTTCCCTTAAACAAAGTCCTGAAAGTCTGACAATTCATTAAACGTTCTTTTTTTTTTTTCCCTCATTCAGAATTATGCTTAGCTTTGCTGGGTATGATATTTTCGGCTGGAAACCCAGTTCTTTTGCTCTTCAATATATAGTGTTCCAAGATCTGTGATCTTTTAGCATTGCCACTGCTAGATCTTGTGTGATTCTAACTGTGGTACTGCCATATGTAAATTGTTTTTGTTTTCTTGTTGCTCATAATATTTTGTCCTTGAGCTTTCGGAATTTGACTATAATATTCTTACGAGTTTTCCTCGTAGGATCTCTTTCAGGTAGTAATCGGTGGATTTTTTCTATTTTTACTTTCCCCTCTTGTTCTAATGCTTCAGGACAATTTTCTTTAATTATTTCTTGTATCACTGTATCAAGATTCTTTTTTTGATCATAGCTTTCAGGCAGTCCAATTATTCTTATGTTTTCTCTTCTTGATCTGTTCTCTAGAGTTGTTTTTCTTATGAGATGTTTCATATTCTCTTCTATTTTTCACTCTTTATATTTTGTTTTATTATTTCTTGGTTTTATAACTTTGCTGGCTCCCCCTTGCCCAATTCTGATTTTCAAGGAGTCATTTTTCTTCCTTAATATTCTCGATCTCCTTTTCTAATTGGTTGACTCTCTTTTCACAATCTTGTTTTTCTTGGATTATTCTTATTTTTCTTGTCAGTTTTCCCTCAATCTCTCTCATTTGATTTTTTAAGTCTTTTTAAAGTTCTTCAGTGAATTCTTTTTGGGCAGGTGACCATTTGACATTACTCTTTGGGGTAGAATAGGGTTTCTTTGCTTTAGTATCTATCTCAGAAGACAAATCTCAGTCTTCTCTATTTCCATAGTAGCTTTCTATGGTTGGATTCTCTCTCCTTTGCCTGTGCATTTTTTTTTAATTGGTAATAGTTAGGTTTTTATAATCGCCTCTAGTCCTGGGATATGGAGGATGGTGCCTCTGGCCTCAGATCCTCTTCAGTTCTCCCACTCTGACCTTGAACTTAAAATAAGACCTCCAGCCTCCTATAAGTGCCCACAGCCAGTCGTGTCCTGCCCCACTGCTTCTGTACATGCTACTTCCTTTTCGCACCCTCCAGTCTCCACAGCACAGCTGGGTCTGGCGTTCCTTGTCAGCAGAGGTTTCCTAAATGCCCAACTGCCCTCACTGTCCTGGGGGTGAAAGTTACTGTGGCTGGGACTGAGGCAGCCTCCCAACCTAGCTAACCCCAGGACTTGCAAGCTTGTTGTTTAAGCGGTCCCAAGGCTGGAGAAGGATCTTCTCTGATTGTCCCAGGAGGACCCAGGTTTTGCCCCTACTCTATTTATTTTCACCACTCTATGTTGGTCTCCCTGAGGTGCTATTTTATGTCTTTTGTAGAGGAAAATCTTGAAAGTTTGAAATTTTCTGACATACTCCACCATCTTCCCAGAATCCTTTCTCAAGTCTCATCTTCTGAAAAGGATATGCTTTAGTCTCCCAGCATTGCTGGTGCCTTCCCTCTGAGATTATCTCCCACTTATACTGCATGTATCTTGTATGTAAATAGCTGTTTCCATGTTGTCTCCCCCAAAGGACTGTGAGCATCTTGTGGGCAAGGACTGTGTTTCTGCCTTTCTTTGTATCTTCTGAACTTGCTGCAGTGTCTGGCACATAGAACCACACACATAAGTGTTTGTTGTTGTTGTTGTTGTTGTTGTTGTTGTTGTCAGTAGAGGAACTCAGAATTTGTTGCAGATGGATGCTGATGGTTGCTTAGCCTACTAGTCAAAGGAGCAAGAGGAGAAGAAGGCATTGCTAAGAGGGTAAAGGATGACTCTATTAAGTGTGGAAAGGGCCACTGTACATTTTACTGGATGAACTGACTTTCTGCAGGTTAAGTGACTTCTGAAAAATTTTTGCAAACTTGAGTGAAAGCATCTGACTCCTATTGAAAGAACAGAATTCATTATTCTGAATATATAGATGGGGAAACAGAGATTAAATGAAGACTAAAGATAACGAACAATAAACTGAAATGATTTTATATCCATTCCCAGATAAACATTATTCTCCTCATCTAAGCTATTGCTCTATTACATTAGAAACTTTAGAACTTTGGTTTCATTTGTTTTTAAGCTGGGAATAAGGAAAAACAGATACACAATAGTATTCTTATTCCAAGTACATGCTGCCTATTTAATGGCCATTAAAGTTAACAAAACTAAACAAGGTCTGTTCAGTTCAATTCAATTAAACATGCAATATGTATTTGCTACATGCAAGGCTTTACTAAGAGCTGGGGACAGAAATATGAAAATGACAGTCCCTTCCTGCCCTCAAGGTGTGGTATAATGGAAAAGAGGTTGAATTTGTAGCCATAGGATACAAGTTTGAATTCCATCTCTGACACTTACTACTTGTATAATTTTGTCATTAGAACCCTCTGGACTTGGTTTCCTCATCTGTAAAATGAGGAGGTTGGGTTAGAGGACCTTCAAAATCCCTTTCAGCTCTCAATCTTGATCTATGAGAATGTTTCTAAGGAACTTATGATCTAATCCAGTATATGAAATATGTATAAAAAAAGCTATGAGATAGAGGCAAAGAGCTATGCCCCACTGAAGGATGGACAAACTTTTCCAGGGGTGGGGGTGGGAAAGAAAATTCAGGAACAGACTTTTGATGAGCTAGCATCTGGATTAAGCCTTAAAGGGAAGTAGTTCAACAGAGAAGGGGATGGATGGGAGAAGGCTCTGAGACTGATGGACACGATCATTACAATGCCTTAAGAAGAGTTATCTGGGAACATTTTGGAGGATAGATTAGAGAGTTGAAAGACTAGAGGCAAAAGGAACTCTTCAAAAAGGTTAATAAAACAGATGAGAAGGAAGAAAAACCAGTCAGTAGTTCCTATTACCTGCCAGACACTGTGCTGGGGACACAAATATAAAAAAATAGAGAGTCCCCACCCTCAAGGAGCTAACAATTTAATGAGGAAAGCCAACATACAAAAGGAATCTGAAAAAGGCAAGGAGGGAGGGAAGAAGGGACCCACCCAGGAGGCACAATGGAGTCCAGTTCAAAGGAGTCCAACTGGGAGAAAAATTAAAGCATGGATTGGGGTGGTTATAGTAGAAGTGGACAGGAGGGTATGGATAAATGAAGCCATTAAAGGCTTGGTTACTTATTAGACTATAAAGTGAAGTGTAGGGTAGAGTTGAATGTGATTCCAAAGTTATGAGCATGTGTTACTTGGAATATAGTGATCATGATGCAGAGACAGAAACTGGAGGCGGGGAAGGTTTAGACAATAAGACGAAAGAAAATCTAGATTTCTGTTAATGTAAAGAGATGAAACAAATCTAAGTAGAAAAGGTCCAGAATAAGGAGTTTGTTGCCAAAGGAACTGAGGCCTAGAGGATGACAGGAATTGAGGAGGGATATGGGTGGGGTGTACAGAATTGGAATAAATGTTCTCAAATTCATTGTTTTAGAAAAACCTTGGGGGCAAGATGAAGTAGAAGGAAAGGAAAAATAATAGCTAAAGAAAGTCTCTGATTTTAGAATGAGAAAATTTGTCACCTCTTCGGTGCACAAAATTTCAGAAGTGGTATCTACCCTCACTTCAATTCACTAGCATAGTAATTACAGTTTTAAATGGATGTTACATGTTAAATTCATTAAATTACTACTGCATAAACAATGCAAGCAACATGTAGGCAATGCATTATAAACACATTTTAACAATTTGAGTTAATTCTATCAAGAATGACATTCTGCAAAAGCTACCAAAGTAACATATATACCATATATAGTAACACATCTTAAAAACAGTGATTCCTATAATGTTGCCAATTCTTGCCAGCTGGCCCAGATTTGACATTGATATTTGATAGTTTGTTGCTAGCTAACCACCATATACGTACATATGTGTATATGCATATTATGTATATGTATATGTTTATACACACATATAAGTATAACTATAGATATTGGAAGGAGTCACCCAAAAAAGATGAATAAACTTAAAATATTTTATGGTCTCCCCTGCAGTACCTTAAGGCATACTGTCATTTGTTGCATATCTTTACAGAGCATAGTTGGAATAGTCAACTTCAAAAATATTCCATATATAATAATATATAATACCTACCAACTGTCCAAAAGAACATACCAAACATCAATAAGAAAACTCCAATTGTCAGAATAGATTGGATTTGGGTAGAGTTGAGAAAATAATCAGCTGTGGATCTTTTAACAATTTATTAGCTTCATTTTATGTGGAAGGATTAAATGCATTAATTGGATTCCATCAGCACCATCACCAAAAGTAATAACCATTTACCTAGCCCTTTAAGATTTTAAGATGTAACCCTTTCCTCAAAACAGCACTATAAAGCAGGGAATGTGGGTATTATTAACCCCATTTTATAGATGAGAAAATGTGACTCTGATAAGCTGACTTGCCTGTGATCACTTTGAAACCACGTCTTAAAACTTCAAGTCCAGAATTTTCACACTTCTGCTGTTGTTCTTTTAAATACTGAGTTACAAAAAGCTGGTTTAAAAAATCAGAAGACACTGTAATAATATCTACTTTAATGATATATTTTTGTGTCTTAAGCCTCCTCAAATCTGCTCTGGAAGCAAACAAGATTTAACTGATAAAGTGCATTAAAAGAAAGAACACATTTAAATGCCTAACTTTACAGATCATCTAGTCCAACCAACCATCTTACTTTAAAGACAAGGAAACTAATGGAAACAACATTCACCTTTTTGGGGTTTTGGTCCATCTCCACCTTCATTTTCACTTTCAGCTTTTTCTCTCTTGCTTTCCACAAACTGTTCCACTGCTGATTGTTCAAGGACTTGCGCACAGGAAGAGTTGGTTTTAACTTGTAAGGCGCTGTTCTGAGACTCATTCACCTGATTTCCTTTTTCATCCTGGATACAGTTGGGATCGTCTATTTGCTGCTTGTTCAGATGTACTATAATTAAAGAAATGAGAAGTCAATTAAAAACTTCATCAATAGGCATTTATTAAATGCTTACTACGTTCAGCCATTGTGCTAGAATAGGACATTCAAAATGCAGGGAAAAAAACCTGTTACTTATTTTATTCTGAGCCACAGAATCACAGCATCTTCTGGTCAGAAAGAACCTCAATGTCATCAAGCTCAAAATCCCACCTATGACAAAATCTCTTCTTCACCTGATGGGTGGTAATCTAGCCTCTCCAAAACAGGAAACTAATAATATCACAGAGTGGCCTATTCCATTGCTGCAGAGCTCTTGAGTGTTGTAAAGTTTTTACAAAGAGTAAAAGTATACCACTATATAACTTCTACCAGTGAGGTTAGACCTGGCCTCAAACATGACATATAATAAATCTCATTTATTCCTCACAATACCCTAAGTAGACAATACAAAGCAATATATTCATTTCACAGAAGAGAAAACTGAGGCTGAGAGAGTGACGTGACTTGTTCAGGATCACACAGTTGTTAAGTGTCTAGGTAGAGACTCAAAAATACTCTTAATCTAATGCTTTTGCTGCTATAAACATTACTGCTTCTAAAAGAACTGAAAACGAAATAAAAGTTATCAGCAGTTACTTGAAAGTGAAAAAAATGTATTTATAACTTCATTTATTTGTAACTTCAAAAAGACCTTGGCACAGATGGAAGTTTAAGCAATAATGACTTAAACATTAGAACTGAATGCAAATTATACCAAATTACTTATAATGCACTGAACAAGTGATTCCCAACCTTTCTAGAATCGTGACACCTTTCTACTGTTTGATTTGCTAACAGCTGTCCCCTTCCAAATGTGCCATATGGCATGTATTTTTTAACTGAAAGTAAGTTAAAATTAATTTTGTTTTTTAAATTATTTTTTCCATAATACCCCTTGAGTTAATTGGAGATATCCTGGGGTGTCAAAAAACCAGCAGGCAGTGGGAATCACTTCACTAAACAGTAACTTAACCTTCATTAAACTAATTATTATAATTTTTATATAATGACATGATCACTATTAATAAGAACATTCTTTTTTCCCATCTTTAATTATGCTGATAAAGTTAGTAAAAAGTCATTAAAAATGTTGTTCAAATATAAGTGAGACAATCTGCCTATGACCTTATCATTCAAGAGGCAATTTCAGGATTGACTTTTGATAGCACAAGAGAAAAAAAATAAGAAACTATTAACCAATATTAAATCCCAAATTATGCTGCTGAGTCATTTATCTTATATACTTCATGTGCTCAGATATTATTTTACAGGCAAAGAGTACTTTATTTTTATGTTGATAACAGTTGGGAGTTGAATGAAATCATGCTAATTGCTATAGGGAGGGTCTGTGAAATGAGCTTGTGGTTCCAATTTAGTTTGCAGACAACAGGTGTCCACATTACAAATACAACTACCCAGATGGCAGACTTTGTCAATTTTGGCAGGAACACCAAGAACTGAAAGAGTAAAGCCTTCGCTACAGATTGCATTTAGCTTTGGATCAGAACTAAGAGACCCTGGAGGGAAGGGCAGAGAGCAGCTCAGACTATTACTGCCCAGGTAGCTGACTCATTGGTTAATGTCAAGCACTCGGAGGTCAGAAAGTTCCAGATAGATCAGTGGTAGGATTATTAGAACTCATAAATAAAATTTGTATTTCATTTTCCAGTGCTGTCAACCAGCAGTTTCCACAATCATAAAAATATGCTCCCAAATTACAAAACAAAAGGAACGTCAATGGTATTTTTCATAAGACAACTATGGAACCATTCCCCAAACTACACAGTAGAAAATGATTGATCCCAGTATAAAAATATACATAGTCAGCAGTTTAGGACATCTTTATTTCTGTTTTAAAATCACTTTCTGACTTTAAAAATATAATAATTTACTAAAACAGACAGTCCAGTTACCTTCCTTAAAGAAATGAAACCTGGGGGAATTTTTTACTATTTACCATACAAAAAATACTGCACCTCACAGATTTAGGAAGCAAAGAAACTGCAGAGAATTATTTAGCTATTTAGAACATAAAAATCTATAATTTCCCTTTAAAATCATAACATCTACAAAAGAGAAGAAAACAGCAGGTCTCTGACTATAAGGCATATTTGCTGCCATGGCAACAGAGCTTCTATTCCTGCCCATTGAATTCGCATCCTGCTGACATTAATCAGAAATGTCCATTTGTGCCAAATTAATGCCATGTCACAGACACTTGGGGATATACATTCTTGACAAAAATGGGAGCTTTTCACATTCCCAAAGAGGATAATTTCACAGGGTCTTCATTACGTGAAGGTCTTATTCTAGTATTCCAGGCTCAAGTCACCAAGCAGTCTCACTAAGCTTTGATAAGCTGCATTCTCTAAAATCAATAGGGTCTCATTCTAGTTAGGAGGACACACAATTCTCCCCCCCACCTATACTTACCAGCACTGCCTTGAGGGGTCTCACACATTTCACAATAAGGCAATAATGAACTATTAACATAGGTGCAGAGACCACACTGCCAATTTTTTCCAGGGAGGGATATGTTGATTGAATTAGACTTTGTCTCCTGAATTGTTTCTTTTATAAATTCAGCATTTGTTGGACTAGACCATGATGGTCTTTTCTCTTTTTGACAGGAATTGTTCTGAGTGTCCACTGATTTCCATCTTTTACCTTCAGGTTCAAAATCACTTCCATAATCAATGGCATCCCTCGTAGCTATATTTCTACAATCCAAGGCCTTCTCAGTATCTTTTTCCTGTAGTACGTTTGATTCATCACAGGATGCCATTGTGTGTCTTTTCTTATTATGTTTTGGTAAAAAGAAGGCTCGAATATCATGCTGTTTTTCTTTTTCAAACTAGGGAAAAGCAAATAGATAATTCGGGGTTGTAACAATCTTTGGTCAAATAAAAGGGTTTAATAAATATATTTTTCTTATTAGCAAGATTTAAACCTTTATCCTTTGAATTAAATTAATTTTGTGATTCCTTGGTGAAAGAGGCAATTTAAAAAGTATCTTTTTTTAACATATTAGAACACCATAAGAACATCGATACTATGAAACTTTAAAATATTTTACTTAGAAATTATCTTTGTTGGGCTTTTGTCAGAGAAAGGCCTTAATAAATGTTCAGGAACTGTCTACTTCCATCACCTTGAGTCAATAATATAATCAGGAAAAATGCTTTCATGTTCAAACTAGGAAGAAACACTGTGTCCAAAGATTTGAGGCAATCATATTAATATGTTTTTTACTTGAAGATGATTTTTTTATTATTTATTTTAATTAATTTATTCTGTATTATCAACAATCACTTCCATAAGCTTCTGAGCTTCAAATTTTTCTCCCTCTCCCTCCCACCTCCCTCCCCAAGATGGCACACAATCTTATATAGGCTATACATATACATTCCTATTAAACATATTTTCACATTAGTGATGTTGTAAGTAAGAACTAGAACCAATAGGAGGAACCACCAGAAAGAGGAAACAAAACATAACAGAAGGAAAAAATAGCAAATAGTGTGCTTCAATCTGCATTCAAACTCCATACTTCTTTCTTTGGATGTGGATAGCATTTTCCATCATTAGGCCTCTGGAGATGTCTTAGATCCTTGCATTGCTGAGAAGAGATAAGTCTATCAATATTAGTCATCACACAACGTGGCTATTACTGTGTACAACATTCTCCTGGTTCTGCTCACCTCACTCAGCATCAGACCATCCAAGTCTTCCAGGTTTTCCTGAAGTCAGCCTGTTCATCATTTCTTATAGCACAACAGTATGCCATTACATTCATATACCACAACTTGTTCAGCCATTCCCCAATTGATGGGCATTCCCTCATTTTCCAATTCTTTGCCACCACAAAAAGAGTTGCTATAAATATTTTTGTACATGTTGGTCCTTTTCCCATTTGTATGATCTCTCTGGGATACAGCCCTAGAAGTGCTATTGCTGGGTCAAAGGGTATGCACATTTGTGTAGCCCTTTGGGCATAGTTCCAAATTGCTCTCGAAAATGGCTGGATCATTTCACAATTCTACCAACAATGCATTAGTGTTTTAATTTTCCCACATCTTCTCCAACATTTGTCATTTTCCTGTTTTGTCATGTTGGCCAATCTGATAGGTGTGATGTGGTACCTCAGAGTTGTTTTGATTTGCATTTCTCTAATTAATAGTGATTTTAGAGCATTTTTTCATATGACTATAGATGGCTTTAATTTCTTCATCTAAGAACTGTCTGTTCATATCCCTTAACCATTTATCAATTGGGGAATGACATATTCTTATAAATTTGACTTAATTTTCTATATATTTTAGAAATGAGGCCCTTATCAGGGAGAGTGGTTGTAAAAATTCTTTCCCAATTTTCTATCTTCCTTCTAATCTTGGTAGCACTGGCTCTGTTTGTGCAAAAACTTTTAAATTTAATGTAATCAAAGTTATCCATTTTGCATTTCATAATGTTCTCTATCTCCTGTTTGGTCATGAATTCTTCTGTTCTCCATAAATCTGATAGGCAAACTATTCCTTGCTCTCCCAGTTTGCTTACAGTGTCAGCCTTTATATCTAAATCATGAACCCATTTTGACTTCATTTTGGTATATGGTGTGAGATTTTGATCTATGCCTAGTTTCTGCCATACTCTTTTCCAGTTTTCCCAGCAGTTTTTGTCAAAGAGAGAGTTATCATTCTAGAAGCTGGGGTCTTTCAGTTTATCAAATAATAGATTACTACAGTCATTGACTACTGTATCTTAACCTATTCCACTGATCCACCACTCTATTTCTTAGTCAGTACCAAGCAGTTTTGATGGTTGCTGCTTTATAATACAATTTAAGATCTGGAATGGCTAGGTCACCTTCCCCTGCATTTCTTTTCATCAGTTCCCTTGAGATTCTGGACCTTTTGTTATTCAAAGATGATTTGTTTTGATAAATGTAAAAGCAATTCAGGAGTAGGAAAATTTATTTTCTTTCTTCTTTTCAAAAATCAAATGCTATATTCCTATGAATGGCTATGGTAGTATGTCTCATTAACCATTCTTTCCCCTTTGCAAATATAAGAATGAACTTCACATTTGGAAGGTGATGGATACCCATTGGCACAATTAATTAAGAAACATTATTCAAAAGATCATAGAATTTAGAGCTGGAAAAGACTCCAGTGCATATAGTTCAGTACCTTTATTTTAAAGAATGAGAAATCAAATGACATCACCAAGGTTACACAGGTAGTAAGTGGCAGAGCCAGGATATGAATCAAGATCCACTGGCAACAATTCTAGTGTTCCATGTCATATTGCTTCACCAATGGGGGTTAATTTATTGGGCTCATATTTACATAAAATTGTGTAAGTTCAAGTTGTACTGAAAGGTCATTAGAGAACTGCAGAACCCTAGAGTAGGAAGGGACCCCAGACAGCATGTAATCCAATCATATCAGACCAAGATTCTCCCTAATATCCATAACAAGTGGTTATCCAGCCTCTGACTGAAGACCTCCAGGTGAGGGAAACCCACTATTTTTCTAAGATGGCCGTCCCCTCTTTAATAGGAATAACAATAGCACCTAACTCAGGATTTTGGTAAGGATCAAATGAAACAATAACATATGTAAAAGATTTTACAAACCTTAAAACGCTAATATAAATGCTACCTATTATTATTACTGTTATCATTATTACTATTATTGTTATTATTTTGGAAAGGCCTAATCATTAGAAGTTTTTCTTTACATCAAGCTGAAAAGTGCCTCTGGGCAACTTCTGCTCACTGTGCCTAGTCTGACCTTTTGAAACCAAGCAGAACAAGTTTAATCTTTCTTCTACTGGATTATCCTTCAAGTACTTAAAGAGAGATACAATGACCTGTGAAGTCTTTTCTCCAGGTTGAATGTCCCCTGTTCCTTCTGTTGATCCCCAAGGAATGGTCTCTAGGTACTCCACCGAGCTGGTCACACCCTCCTTTGGATATGCTCCAGTTTCCCAATGTATGTCCCATAGAATATGATGCTAGCAAAAAACGACATAGCACAGAGACAGGGACTGCACCTGTGATTTCATTAGTTCATTGGAACTCTCAGATGCATAAAGTCACCTTCCTGTAAATGTGTAGTCTTAGAGAGTTGCATAGAGGTATCAAACATGGGGCATGCAGGCTTCCACAAAACTCCCAATGCTGCTGGAAGCAGATAAAATGTAATTGGGAATATTTAATAAAATTAATTTTAAAAATATAACAGAACATAGATAATGTTAATACATAATTCTAAGTACTGACTTATTGCATATTGATGCAGTAGCAGGTATCCTTCCATGTGGTTTAGTGGTCCCTTTTTCTGGCCCTTGAGCACTGAGAGGGTAAGAGACTTGTCTAGTGTTACACAGCCAGTCTGGCAAGGACAAGATCTGAATTCAGGTCTTCCTGGCCTTGAGTTTAGCTTTTCTATGCTTTCTGCCATGCTGCCTCTCAAAGCAGAGCATATGAAGAAAATTTCCATAATGAACTCAGTCTGCCTTTGCAGTGTTGCTAGGCAAAGAGATTCAGGTTGTTTCTATACTGGTGAAATTATGACATATTACCACAGGCTCTCTCAAAATAATACAGAGAACCTTTACCTTGTGTAGCTCTTTCTCATATGCTATTCAAACACATTCCAAATCAGCTGGAAAAATTTCAAAATTTATGTGAAAATATAAAACAACAGAATATAATCAAGGGAACTGAATAAGTTAGGAAAGATAATTTCTGCTGAGTTTTAACAAAAGAAAATGCTAGAAGAGGGATACACAAAAAAAAGTATTTCGAATGTAGGATCTTTAATTGAACAATAAATCTTAGAAAAGGACATAAAATACACATTTCTGGGTGAAAAGAGAAAAGGAAAGCAGTAATAAATAGGTTAAATTAGTTTGGTCCTGTAAAGAAAAGATAATAGATAATCAAAGATAATGTATTATACTTAAGAGAAATGTAGGGAAAAGATGAAGCTACCTGAAAATCTACAGCAATTTTGAGTGTATATTTAGTATCAGCTTTTTCAAGTTAAACTACACTAAGTTATTTTGCTTGGCCAATTTGCCATTGACTTGGTTTAAGTGACATGGTTAAGAAAGCAGGCTAGATTGCCTTTGGAAGTAGCAAAATTCTTATAATAAACTCCAGTTTCTTTCTGAAATAAAGTTCTATTATTTGTACACCAATATTCTTCCATTGATGCTGTATGGCTGTGAGTCATTGAACACTCGTCTTAGAAAACTAAAGCTGATGCTCCCCCAAAGGGCATAAGCAAGGTGTAACATGTTACAAAGGAGGAATTATGCTGCAGAAGTGGTATAAATGATGTTAGCAAGGAAATATATGAACAAAAAAGAAGATAGCTTAGCAAAAAAAGGAGAAAACAAATGGACAGACTGCATGCTCCATTTTAGACAGACCAAATAAGGTTAACTTTTAGAAGGACAGAGAATAAAGTCACAAAAGATGGGCAGGCATACATTGGTTGTGATTTGCATCACTGAGATCACAAATTTGTTCCTGTTTATAATGAAGATAGTTATTCACTGTATCATTATGTATTATAAATTGGAGTGAAACTCTATGGCCCGTGTTGACTGACTTAAATGCTTCAAGGTACATGAGTTGTAAGAGTAAAGACATCTTGGGGCAGCTAGACAATCTGGTCTTTTCCCCCTTCCATCCACTTTGGCACGGTGGATAGAGCACCGGCCCTGAAGTCAGGAAGACCTGAGTTCAAATCTGGCCTCAGACCAAACACTTGACACTTACTAGCTGTGTGACCCTGGGCAAGTCACTTAACCCCAATTGCCAAAAAAAAAGAAAAAAAAGAA